TTGCACTATTTTAACCTTATTGTTGCTAAGTGTTTTGCTGCGTTTTTAGTGCGTGTCCCCCTTCCCTTCAAAATGCTGCCTTATTGCACGGTAAATAGGGGAGAATTGGCTTATAAGGTCTCGGCCAATCAAGTCTCGCCACTTGCCGTGCGTTAAGGGATGATGGGTGGCTTTCTCGGTTGACTCATCACTTCAACGGCTTAGTCACCTTCTTAACATCTCCCAGCCCTCCATGTGTCCATTCCTTGCAGAAGTTGCACGTGAGTTTCATGAGAAACTTGATCTCTTGGCTATTAGGCGCTAAGCGTGCTTAAGCGCACTAATGGTGTGCTAATGGTGCATGTCATTGGGCTACACATGACTTAGTACATTCTTAGGGCCAATCAAGTCTTAAATACATGATTAGCACTAAACATGATTACCTTAATTAATCCTCATTAATGTTAATTAATCTTAATTAACATTAAGCTAATCGTGATTATTCTAAGCTAATCTCGATTAATTAGCTTAAACATGATTAAGTTAATTAAGCACGGACTAATGATCATTACTTAATTAACAATGGACGGTGTACCAATGTGAACGCGTCACAGTATAGGTATACCGAACTTGACGTGAGGAACTTTAACTGGATTAACTATCGGAATATTATTCCGAACATGAACATGACATTCGAAAGTTAATTCGAATATGCTTGACTTAGACGATTAATCCGAACATAAATATTTCGAATAGTTCGTCAACTTGGCTTATTAATTCCAGACTCATTAACTAAGTAAATGAATCGAGATTAAATCTGAAAACTTATTCGGTTATCAACCGAATAATATATCGACTAATAGTCGAACTTAGAATCTGATTAACTGAATTGCTTGAACTTGAACATGAACCTAACTATTTATTAACAAAGGCTAGCTTAAAACTAAAAGCTAGTATTTTCCTTTATTAATAAAACTCGGGGTGTTACACGCAGGCCCGCGAGGCGCTGCGTGCTGCCCGTCC